GGAATTATGACACGTACCTCTCTGTCAAATTCACACGCATCAGGATTGGACACCAAACAGTCCCATATCTCTCTTGCTCTGTGCCATGGTAAATACAACATGCCTTCTTGTAATATAAAACCTAGGAATTTTAAATGTGATATAATGAACTGGAAAAAAACAAATAGCATATACATTAATAACAAAGAAAGCGCCAAATATGTAGTATTATTGAAAACAGACGATGAACATGACATGTCTTGTGAAAGTCACACAAAAAACGAATTGAAAAAAAAAAAGGTTTTCATACTTTTATTTATTTGTATTTATTATTTTATTGTACTTATAATGCATGCACAAATCGACTGACTGACCAACCATAAAAGTAATTGAACTCACTTCTTGATGTGTATGCCGACCGTCCACCATGGTATCGGCCGTTATTGGTGATTCTTTGGCAGCACAGACTGCTAATTTATGACACTTGACGAGACTCTGCGTCACCAGTTTCACAACCTCATAATTCTTGTTTAATTCATGTAAAATACCCTGCGATGCAAAAATATACAAAGAAAATATGCTGATTACAACATGCACTCAGAGTATGTGCAGGAGGAAAATGGAAAATGAGAAAAAACAATTGTTTTCAAGTTAGAAACCCTTCTAACATTTAAAAGCCACTATTTCACAAATAGAGCGGGTCTGGAGCATATAGTATATTCACTCTATACATGTACCGTAAAATCTGTATTAGAAGCCGCAACCCTAATAGAAGTCACACCCATTCTTTTTGAACAACTGTGAATGTTCTAATAGACCCTGCATCCCCTCTACTGCATTGTACCATTTTAATAGAAACTGCAGCTTCTATTAAACACAGATTTTACAGTAGCAGTGCATATGTAAATATAACAGGGAACAATTAAGTCGCATTAAATACAATCAATCCTAATTATGATTTTTATGTTTGTAAATATGGTTCAGCATAGTATGAATAATTTACTATTACAAAATACTCATTTTATTTTTGCTTGATATTTATTTTTCGTTATTTTCACTAGAGGAATGATTCAGTGAAAATAAACTGCACACATAACACCCACCCATTTTCTTTAGCGAAAATTAATTCCAGCTACAATAAAGTATTTTACAGTAGGCAGCTTTACCTTGTTGGGAGAACCTGTAAGATCTGATAATTATCACTAGATCCATACATTATGATTGTGCAAAAATAAACTATATATTTATAAAAGCCATTTTCAAACATGGGTGGTGTTGCCAACCCCAGTACAAGAACACTCATCTTATATTGACAGATTTAACAAGTTAAAAAATAATTTCATTAAAAACCGAGAATTTATAAATCAGCATTTAAAGGGAATGGTGGAAACATTACTATTTTCATAACTAGAAATGTGAACTGTTTATCTTTAAGAAGACACAACTTCATGAATGTTGCTGTACCTCCAAGTCACCTAATGAAATATTGACTCACTCAATGAAGTGTTCCCAAAAAGGCTTTCAAGAAAAACATGATTTATGAAGAATGGAGAAATAGAAAACATTTCTTACTCACCTTCTCTTTGTTATAGGTTTGTTTGACGATACTCCGACTAATCTGGTGGAGTTGTCGGAGAGCTGGCACAACACACACACCCTGACAGAAAAAAGAGCACTAAATTTAAATTTAAATCAATGTGTCTTGAAGTCTTAGCTAGAAATGAAATAATTTGTGCAAGAAAATCGCTTTCAGCAGATCTTTTTTGTACTGTCCGTATTCTTACAAAAACATTGTGAATAATGTTAACTATTAAAATATTAACTTATTTGTTAATAACTTATTTGACATCACAATGAAACACAAAGAATGATGACTTCTCAGAATGAAATGAATGATGAAATCATTCTTACTGCAACACAAAGAATGATGACATCACTTGCAATGAGACACGGAAAAACGATGACATCACTTGCAATGAGACACGACAAATGATGAATTCTCAGAATGAAACAAATGATGACATCACTTGCAATGAGACACGAGGAATGATGACATCACTTGCATTGAAAACAATAAATATTTTTTTAAGAAGGCTAATCCAACAACTGCAATAGGGCTTCAATTTATTAAAAAAGTGAAGGTTTAAATATCATATTTTGATTTTTCAGGGTAGACTTCATAATCAGTAATGCATTCTTAATATTGGTCATAGTATATGTTGAATAAAATTATATTAATAAAACCCAGTTAGGGCACCATAGGTTGTTAGATAATGAAAGTAGGGCATACTACATCCTCCACTACCTCCTTCCAGCCTTTTTCCTCCTTTCAAATCAGGTCATGGACGTACAAGGTAACAGATTGGAAAATAATATGTACATGTACTAATGCATTTCACAGCTGCTACTTAAACATTCGCATGACTAAAAGCCATTCATCCATGCACATGCATTCATTTGACAATTACTTTGATGGATTGTCAATAATAAAATTAATTTATAAATTGAACAAATTCCTTTGCATGATTACTATTTCGATGTTTCTGTGGTTTGTTTCATTTCCTTAATCAATTTTAAAAAAAACAAACATTTGAAATAGCTTTTCAGTCACTTTTACTCAAAGCATGAATTATCAAAATTTGAATTATAACCAACAGTCTTCTTCATAAAACTAGAAGTGTGGCTAAATGGGAATGTTTAACGTTATCTGATTTCAGGTACCATGACACAATAACCAGTAATCCCTCTTGGGCATCATACACCATGTGACACTCCATAGGCACATAGCAACATGTGTGTACACATCATTTCTTTTATCACACAGCGCCCTCAATGGTAGGAGTGTTTCATATACAACTGGAACATTCTGTTGATCGAGTAAGGCTGAACGTGTACCAGTTTTGAAACCAAAGATTATTTGTTGGATTAGACATATTCTGATTTATGGTTTCAACTTTTACCCAATCAACACCTTGTCACGACAGCCCAAAAGCTGCCAGCCACGTGGCTATAAGTGGATACATTTACAGATGATACAGTTTCATGTCAGGAAAGCAGAATGCTTGATTTATGTGTTTTCATTTGCAAAAATAAAGAAACACTAACATTTTGAGGATTTGACGATTGATTTGCTGGGTGAGTGCCTTGAAGTCCCTGTTTTCATGAAACACTTGTGCACATCAGAAACATATCTAGATCTGTGATGGTCATCTGCCA